AAACGTGCGGTGTTTCGTCAAATTTGCAATGGTGTTTCAAATCACGTGAAGAATTTCACTTCGTCATCGAGGTAATGCGCAAAATAAGATTTTGAGAATTACATTATAAGAGATATACGTACGCCGTTTATCGAACATAACGACGCGCCGAACGGGACACCCCGTATACGCACGTCGGACGGTCATCGTTACGGTAGCGCGTAATACTTTACGGTTCGGCGTGCGTATTATCGCGGAATCGCACAGGACAAGCGCAATTTTTGCATGGAAAATGGCGCTACGGTACTTTCAGCCTCGCCGCTCGTCCGCGGCGGACGACGAATCTAGGCTAGGCCTAGGAACGACACGGTCATCGACTACCCTTGATTTTTTTTTTTTTTCTAAAGACGGAGAAAGCCGCGCCATGCGCACAGTCCGATTTCCCGTTGATTAGATTATGACACCGTTGCCATACGTGGCGCCGAATAATATTGTACATATCCCGAGACACGCACGCGTAAATTATCTTTCCGAAGACAAAAAACAGTTTGTAGTTGGATCTTATCTACGTATCCTCAATTATGTCGCTATATATGAATATATTGTAGTGTATTTATTTATTGGAATTTAGAAATTGATAAAAGTTTAGTCGCATTAATGATAATTCTGGTTGAAAATGGATAAATCAAAACTGTTTGATTGAATCTATTATAATTCTTGATTGAAGGAATCAGGATTCCTGATTGATACGATCCGAATTACCTTCTGGTCTGTCCAATGAAAAATTTTTCTTAGCGCGTATCATTTAAAGAAAATATTTCATCATGTATGTATTCTTTTCTTCATTTCTGTTTTCGACAATGACAACGTAATAAATTTATCGAGAAGCAGTAATAATCTTTATCATTATCGTAAAAATGAAATCTTTATTATCCCATGTTTAATTGACAATCGGCAGTGACAGAAAGAAATAAAATATTAAGTCAGATCGAATGATGCTGGATTGGGAATATCTCTCGATCTTCGGGCGCTTCGCGAACATGCAAGAAAGTACGGATCTTTTCGATCAGTGCCCCCCGTACGAAAAGTGCAACGACCGTTCCAATAAATCGACCGTCCCCCTCCCCCCCTCCTCTCTTTCTCTTTCTCTCTCTCTCCCTCTCTTTCTCTCTCTTTTCCTTTCTCTCTCTCTCACCTCCACCTCTCCCACCCTTCACCCCACCTCCAATCCCAAAATGATTACATATACGCAAGTTCGCAGTGACCGCGGCTACGAACCGCGGCTACGGATACCGTTATGTCACATTAGTAGGCACCTGCAAGCGTTATTATCCTCTCCCACAGCGTGCCATTCTCAAAATCGAAAAGCACTTATCCTGTAACACGCGAGAAAACGGTACTGGCCATCGACATCAAACTGGCACTTGGAAATATCCTAGTATGGTATACATAATCGCAGAATATTTAGACGTTGGCAGCAGGATGCTGAATTAATAATTGAAATCGGTACGATTCCGGGGGGAAAGCTCGATTTGGATGACCAAACCGTAAATATCTCAAATGGATTTTCAGGTTTGGCATTCTTAAACATATATAGACTATTCTCTTTCAAAATTATATATAGAAAAAATTTTCAAAAAAAAAAAAAAATAGGACAACATATATATTTATTTGACATATATGTGGCAATTTCTTTCATACTATATTTTTTAATCAATTTCTTATAGTACTTTTACAGTCAGAGTATTTTTTAAATTATGAGAGACTTTAAAGTGCTTATAAAATTGACAGATTTTCATCCGTAATAATTGATCCGCATAAATTAAATTCTTATTTTACATTATTCTAAAAATTGTTTATTAATTATAGATCGTGATATCTTTTCTGATTGGTTTTGATCAAGATACATTTGTCAATATTATGTGTATTAACGCAATTTTTTATATCATAGAAAAAAATTGTTGAAACTTTTTCTTCCGATTTAATATTATCTAATTTTTCTTTTGAATATAGGACGAACTGTTATTATAAATTTCAAATATAGATTCTATTTTGATATATTTATGCTGTAGAGAATATCTGAACTGTTTTGATATGTTTAAATTATATTTTCTATATATATAGATAGACGTACTATTCCTTATGCAGTAATTTCTTATCAAATACATCATATTATAATAAATATATATATAAAATTAATAATTATAGTGATACATTCATAAATTATTTACACACACACATACATTTAGATATTTCGCATTTAACATTTAAATATTTACATATTTTTTAAGAGAACATTTATATTCTTATACTTTTATTTTCTTACATATGTACGTCATATTTTTAAGGGAATTACATTTTTATAAAGAATTAATAGGAGTAATACAATGCAACTGTTTATAGAGATTAAGCATTTTCCCTTTTTCTAAAAATTTTGTCTAACTCATAAACCGTAAAGCCAAATTATCGAATTTTCTGAAGATTCATCTTTCTATTTTACGATTATTAGATCACAGTGCGCATTCGATAAAGATAAAGTCTCTTCGTACTTCTTGAAGCAACGCCCGATAGCAAACGTGGGCCGCAGATACAAAGGACTCGTTTCCGCTCTCGACTTCCTTTATACTTTGTAATCCTTTGACGCCTCAACAATTTTCCACTCGCTGTCCCTTTTCGTTCTCCGTCCCACTTCCTCTTTTGTCATCGTCCGTAGTGGGATTTTGTTTCAAATAAGAAACGTCGTCCTTCTCGAAGCCGAGATTTTCCTCGGCCGTATCAAGAGTTACGAGCCGACGAAAATTTCGTTCGGCCGAAGAAAAAGTGGGAGGCTGCACACCGTTATGTCATATTAGGAAATACGTGCGTTTAACGGTGTTTCCCTGCACACTTCTCGTTCCTATGACAAGCAGACGAGGTTCTGATCGTTCACGAATCGATATTAAGTTCGGCTAACGGATGCGCATTAAAAACGCATGATGTGTCACGTAATAAAATTAATTGTTTTACTCCTTTAAAGAGAAAAGAAGAGGAGAATCGATAATAGGCGCTTATAATTCAAGGGACTTTGTCGCAGAAAAGTTTCGATGCGGCAGATAATTATTTATTTTTGGTTCAATGACCTCTTGCGAATTCACACAGTAGAAAAATTACTTTTTAATGAATTTTCATTTTACATTGATTCACGAAAGAGAAGATAAATCAAATGTTGATTTGTTGAGGATTATCGGATAATATAGATTTAAAGTTTTATATATAGATTAAAGTCTTTATTAGTGACAATTTTAGAATATTGAAATGCTATTAGTTACAGTAAAATTATGAAGATAATAACTTTGTATTGTACAAAACTTGTAATAATACAAAATATTATCATAGACAGAGAGTCTGAAAAAATTTCGAAAAATCGAATTAATTATTTGTAAAATAATGGCAAGAATTGTAATTGAGTTTATAATATCGCAGACAGATTTTGCTGGGACAACATATCGGTTTTGAATGTGACCAAAAAGAAATGAGATGATGTATTATATAAAAAATCAATTGCGGGAGATTCGTGTGTTGCAATATCGCGGAACACTTCGCAAAACACGAGCAGCGTTATTGCTTTTACCGTTGTTTTTTTCCAAACTTTCGGCTTGGTCCCGGTACCGTTAGGGACACATGGAGGCTCTCGAAGAACGAGCGTGAAGAAACACTTTCTGTATTCGAAGAGCATCTCCCGTGACGTAACGCGTATATCGAAGGGTTCAAAGTACTCGGGACTGCCTCGTATATATTCATTTTCGTTCCGCGCGATTATGCTCGCCGTTTTATTCGACTTGCTTTGCCGACACCGCGCCGTCCCGATGGACCGTTATGCAAAATTGCATAATTGTTGGGCTCCGTCACTACATTGTTGTTAATTTATTCATTTTATTTTCTGCTCTGTAAGTTCGTTGTACCTGGTTTTATTAACCATGAACGGCAACACGGAGACTTAAAAACATGATCAAGCTAATACGATTTTACCAGATGAATGTACATTGATAGTCTCTTGATTTATTTACGATGCTCCGCATCATAATGATATCTCGATGAAATGGCGGATGCGAATATTATTAACGAATGAGGACAGATTTGCACATTTTATTCAATAATATGGAAGAAAGGCATGAAGCTTTTCGGAATTAGTTCTCGACGATGATTTTAATAAGATTCCCGATCGTTTGCCGATTATGTCGCACATTAATTTAATTCGCTAGACATCAATTACATTATAATGGAAGTAAAATATCATCTCTCACTTGAATTTTACGTAAAGTTATATAGTGATTTAAATTTTAATGCGAATTCAATATTTTTAGATTAATTAAATTATTTTAGATTAATTAAAAAATACAAGAGAAGTGCTTGTATATAAAGATACCGAGAAAAAAACAATTTAAATTCAATCGAGATTACATAAAGTTTATAAATACATTGTAATCAATCAATTTCAATTTATTATTAAAGTATGCCATATAATAATCCTTGATTACAAAATCGCCGAAGAGTATTATATTACCGTAAATCTCAAAATCTGATAATTTATTGTTATTTACATACGCCTTTCAAGAGTAAATAGCTCGATTCTTTAAATACGACGAATGGCGTAACATATAATATTTAAGTTTAGAATCCGACGTAAACATAATTCTCCATTCAAAAGTAAGTAATTGTAAAATTAAAGTTTCACAAGGCTGTTAAAAAATAGCGCATTTAAAAAAAAATATTGACGTCAATTAAGTTTTGTATGAAAACGTTAACCGATCTCTTTTCTTAGTATAATCGATAATGTGTTTTTAAAGTATTTACATTGTCAATTTGTCTAATCATGTGTTGATATTTGCGTTGTGTACAACTCCGGTTGAGATTTATTTCAAGAATAAACAAAGCGATTATTATTCGTGGCCATATGTATTGTAAATATATATCTCTCATCGTCACTACATCTGTACATTTTCGAATTGAAATAATCAAATAACAAAATTTATTAGACTCACCTAGCAACGTGTCTGCCTGGCAGCCTCGTGGATCCTCTCACGACGAACTGTCAAAGTTCACACGTTGAAGTCACGAACATATCTCCGGTCCGGCGACGACCGGCTGATAATCCACCATCGATCTCGTGCCAACCGATTGTGTTGCCGCGATTCACGTCTCGCGAAAGTTTCTTCGAATTCTTTGACACTGAAATATCGGATACCAACCGGTGGGACGATCTCGTAGTGCAATGTCACTATATTTTGGACGGTATCTCGCATTCACGGGGCACCACTGTGCACCATCACCCTCAACTGTGCCGTTGCGTTGTTGATGTTAGTTTATTATCGTCGCGGAACGTTTTCGCACCCTTTTGCGCGTGCTGGCCGGTTACGACGAGATGGTCGAACTGGGAGTGCGGCTCTCTCGTAATCGCGCGCGTCAGGACTCCTCTCTCTCTCTCTCTCTCTCTCTCTCTCTCTCTCTCTCTCTTTCTCTTTCTTGATTCGCGCCGGCAGTACGTCGAGGACTACCTCGTCCTTGACGTACGGTCGTGTACACCGTGCGGAGCCGCGTGGTTCCAACTGACGAGTACGAAGCGGGTAAGGTGAGTCTAGGTGTCTCCTTGCCCGTGCTCTCGCTCTCGCACGTGTGCGTGACCCACGTAGGCAGGCCGCGAGCAAGCGGGCGGGCCTACGTGCGTGCGTACCACAGGTAAATGTGTGTGTGTGCGTGTCGCGTGTTCTGTGTGTGCGCGCGCGCGTGTAGTGTGTGTGTGTGTGTGTGTGTGTGTGTGTGTGTATGTATGTGTATACACGAGGGAACCGGCGAGGGGACTAAAGAAGGAAGA